TTCTTCTTCTTCTTCTTCTTCTTCTTCTTCTTCTTCTTCTTCTTCTTCTTCTTCTTCTTCTTCTTCTTCCTCTTCCTCTTCCTCTTCCTCTTCTTATTCTTTATTATGTATACAGTGTTCTGCCTGCAGGCCAGAAGAGGGCACCAGACCCCATTATAAATGGCTGTGAGCCATTTTGTGGTTGCTGGGAATTGAACTCAGGACCTTTGGAAGAGCAGGCAGTGCTCTTAACTTAGTAGCCCCCAGTTCTGAAGCATGGTAGAACATGCCAGTAATTCCAACACTCAGAAAACTCCTAAGGCAAGAGGATTTTTGCAAGTTTGAGGCCAGCCTTTGCTGTCTTCTGCTCCTCACCTGCTGAGCCTGAGGCAAGCCCCACCCAGCTGATAGCTTAGGTTATGGCCTTGATAATGTACCCAGAGCAACAGCCACTTTCGGACTATTTCCCCAAAGAGACTGATAACAGTGTTTGCTTTGTAGGACCCTGTTTGGGAGTTGACCCATTGCACAGCAATAAGGAATGAACATGGTCTAATTACATAACAATTTGAAATGGCCGAATAGTATGGCACACACCAAAATATGCTGCCAACTAAAAGTGGTAAGTAGGTTCGTTCTTTCTTTCTTTCTTTCTTTCTTTCTTTCTGAGGCCTCACTTTGTAACTTAGGTGGGTCTCAAGCTGGGGATCCCCAGTCATGTCTTCCTAAATGCTAGATTTACAGGTGTGCACAACACCAAGCTGAACCATTTGTTTTTATGTTTACTTATTTGTATGTGTGTATGTTCCACTGCCTTGGCACCTTCGTGGAAGTCAGAGGTCGACTTTCAGGAGTTGGTTCCTTACTTCCACCATGTGGATTCCAAGGTACCAAACGGCCTTTACCACATGAACCACTTTGTAGTCCACGAACCATCTCTTTTCATTCTTTTTTTTATTTTATTTTCTTGTATGTACATTGGTGTTTTGTCTGCATGCATGTCTGTGTGAGGGTGTGACATAGTGGAGTTACAAACAGTTGTGAGCTCCCATGTGTGGGCTGGGAATTGAACCCAGGTCCTCTGGAAGAACAATGAGTGTTCTTAACCACTGAGCTATCTCTCTAGCCCCATTCTTTCTTTAAAACAAAACATTTTATTGATTCTTTGTGAATTTCACATCATGAACCCCAATCCCACTCATCTCCCAGTCCCTCCATACCTGACCTCTGCCCTTACAACCTCCCCCCTCAAAAAACAATGAATGAATGAATAACTAAATAAGAACTTGTCACGGAGGCTTCGGTGTGTCACACAGTGTCCCTTCTGCCCAAACAGCTTTATGTAGCGGAAGTTTTGGTTTCTTTAAAAACTCAGCAATGTTGTGTAAATATGTTTTTGTGTTAATCCCAAGCGTGGGATCTGGGACTGCCTTAGTTTATCCACGGCTGATAACCGCCTCCAGCTGCTCAGAAAGGGGTGTGTTCTTTGCCAGCTGCAGATAGTTTAAATCTAAGGACTCAGAGCAGAGATAAACACCAGAGCCTACAGAAAGGAGGAGGAAGCTTCAAGGGCTGCTGGGGCAGGTGTGGGAGGAGGGTCAGGACGGGTGGGGAAGAAGGCTGCTGCTGGATATCCTGACAACTGAGACTGTCATGCCCCAAATAATGCAATGACCCTAACCAGCCAGAACTAAGTCTAAGGAGACCTAAGTCCCTTTCCCTTCTAACTTTCTTTCTCTCCGACCTAGGGTTGGGGGGTTGGAAGGGAGGTAGAGCTTAAGGAAATAAAGTGGAGTGAGAAAGCAGAGCCTACAACTTCACTTGGCGCACATTCATTGCAGTGAGTCATCGGCCTGCTTTGAGGTCTCTTGGCTTCTGCTACACCATCAATACTAAATCCCCACTGCTCTCCTCTTGGATACCCTGGTGCTGCCCTGTGTCTTTGAGATTCTGCAGGAGTGGTTCTGAAGGATCTGCGGCACCTTTGCACACTCCTGCAGTTCATAGATGGGGTAGACGTCGGAATGAACCAAGTCAAAGCCCTGGTTCAGAGCTGAGTTGGTCAGCCCGCCAGCTCCCCCACCATGCCACCAGGGCCAACTCTCCAGCTTTGCCCAGGCAAGGGGTGGGACCAATTCTCTTGCCTGCA